CTTTAACCAAAAGCTATATATAATTTATGGGAGAATGACATGCTTTGGTCAACCACACATCCATTGCTTTAGGGTGAAGGGATGTCTATATGACATACATGCATGAAATATAAAAGTATTCAAAATCTAAAAATTGAGAAAAGTGGGAGCAGAAACACCTGCTCTGTTGACCAAAAAGGACCTCAAGATTTCTTTAATATGACGAAAGATTACTTAATCTCTCAAACATTATACAAGCCTTCCATGTATTATATATACTATATATTAAAGAGTTAATTTATTAGTAATATTTGAAAATTTCAAAGTAAATTAATTGCTTGTTGACTAGCAAAAAAGTATATGGATCAATTTAATTGTTTTGGACAGTGCTTATCCAATATACCTTAAGCTTGTAGTTTATAAGTTTAAGAATCAAATATTAATTCATGTAAGTAGTTGAGTTGTCCTTAAATTAGTAACAGTAACAGTATTTAACTATGCGCTCATGCATTACAGAAGCAAAGAAATATTATGACCTACAAATTGATAAGATTAGCGAATATTAGGTGAATCTGATTGGTCCAAAGTCCAAGGAATGACAAAAAATATAAAGGAAAAAGAATAATTTAGGAGAGCTGCTCCTCTGATTTGTCAAAGATGAACAAATCATCCTTATATTCCGAAACTATTTTTTACGGAGTTGTTTGGTTGAGAAACAAGTTATTTCATGATAAATTATTCTGGAATTAATTATTCCGGATTAGTTATTCCATCCTCCTATGGGGATAAAAAAATACTACAATCCCGGAATTAGTTATACCACGATTTTATCCCAACCAAACGTTGCATAAACTCATCTCAAATTTAATCTCGGGATTAATTATCTCTTATCCCTTGGTTGAAGACAACTTTCTCATGTGAAAGTGTCGAATGTGATACGTCTAACGTTTACCAGGAGTTCTCTAAAATTACAGTGTGTAAATTAAAGGAAATTGGTGCAGCTTGCTAATGTGTCTGTTTTGGATACAAAATGTCACCAGTTCAATTGTGTCATTCCTACTTATTATTGCTCCTTTGAGCAATAACAATATCCTTGTACGGGTTCACAGTGACTCAAAATGTTTATTTTTGAGTTTATTTCTTGCATAGATTTTTATTACGACCATGTCCATATTAAACCTGTATGCTGAACAGTTCTTTTGTCAACTTTTTAAATTTTCATACTCCACTTCAGAGGAGAGCAGTAGGACCCACTCAAATTAGAGGAGCAGCTCTCCTAATCCTTTTTCTCCTGTATTTTTACCTCTCATTCTTGAGACGGTTAACATCTTCATTGTACCTTGAGCCGAAGGTCTATCAGAAACAGACTCTCTATCTCTATGAGGTAGGGGTAAGGTCTGCGTACACATTACCCTCCCCAAACGCCATTTATGAGATCAAACTGGGTTTGTTGTTGTTGTTGTTGTTTCTTGAGACGGTTTACAAGAATGTCATACAAGAAGCCTGCAGATGGTTCAGAGTTCAGACTGGCAAACAGTTTACTAGTACAAATTTAGGTAACCTTCAAAATTCTTTTGCTAGTACAGATAGGATGTATATTGAAGTTGGCAGCTATACTTAATTCATTTATTTCCAGCTCTAGATATATAAAGTATAGATGAAAGTCCTTTGAAATATATATCTGTAGTCTGTACTAAGTTCGAACCATTGTCACAGATAAGTAGTATATAGAGGTCTAATCTGTACACACTAACTAATCTATGTAAGTAAACCAAGAAAATGTAAACACAATATTTGCACAGATTTTTCCAACCAAACTAAGCACTTTCATCCTCTCATTTGGAATACTCAACCAGTCCAAAACTAAGCACAGATTTTCCAGCCTAGTTTTAACATGGTAGCAACCTCCATACTCCAGCGCTCTACATAACAACAGTTTAGGCCGGAAACATGAAAGAACTTAGGACTTGTATCAAGATTCCATTATCAAGTAGTCCATCAGCTATCCAAACAGAGTACCTGAATATGCTCACAGTTGTATTCGTAAAATCTTTTGAGCCTCGTTAAAGTATTGAGGAACCTTGGTTCGATGTAACAATTTGCAAGAATCAAGTGAAAGGCTTTGTAACAATATCAAAACAGAATGGAGCCTAATGAACCATGAATCGCTCTTTGCTAAAAGCTGTTCAAACAACGGCAAACTGCAGATGATTAAAATGAACAGAAAATATATGACAGGGTCAGAAGATATCAATTGACAGAAGAATTGGCAGTGTTTCAAATCATCAAACAACTGATCTTCTAAAAAACTGGGAAACTAGTGTTTGCAAAGATTGATTTTGTTTTCCTTCATATCTGAACTGATAGTTATCCATCATAATTATGTTATCAACACAACTAAAGCACCGAATTACCAAAAGCCTCAAATTTGTCAATCACGTAAGAGTTTTGAGAGCTTGTTTCAATGTCAATGTTGTTTTGTTTGAGCTTTCCTCGAATCATCATTTGTTTTGTAGACTGTAGACATTATTGCTGATAATGCCATTAATCCCGTAACATAATATATACATAAAAAAAGAAGAAGAAAGAAAGTCTCTACCCAAAAGCTAAGGCCTTGATATCCACAGAGTTAAAAGGTTGTGAAAGCCATCGCAGTTGCCCTTAAAGCTTCAGACTTCAGAGCATGGTGAAAGCTCCAAAAAATCTTTGGTTCAATAATCAGACACCACGCTATAAGGTTTATGATGACTTTGGCCGGGAAATATCACTTCCTGGCATTATCTGCTTCGTATTTGGCCAGGAAGTATGGGTTCCTGGCTTTGTCTGCATTGTATTTGGTTTTGTAAACCAGGTAGTATACAGAAATTGTTTCTGGGGCCCAACATGATTGCATATAAGCTTAAGCTTCTGTCTTTCCCTCATCCATCTTAATACTATCTTCATGTGCCTTTTGCTTGTCAACCCTCTCAACCCAACATCCTGGAGTTTTGCAGGGTAAAAACAGTTAAGAAAGAGCAGCCTAGAGTTCTCAAAGTTAAGAACAGTAGGTTCATGAGAATCAGAAAAATGGTAACAATTTCACATAATTTTATACTCTGTGCTAAGAAGTACAGCGGCGGGAAAACAAAGACTTAACCATCAACATTCCACCACAACTAGAAAGGCAATAGAACAGCTGTTAATTGTTAGTAAAGCAACTAATTGTCCTTGATATGGTAAATTAGACGCTAGGAATATTCCGTAAACTTAGCGCTCATCTACCAAAAAGCCTAGTGTCAAGCCTTCAAAAAGAAACATTCGCAGGATATTAACTGAACTATTATACAGAACGTAATTTGTCTCTTTAATTTCATTCTAACCGGAGGAAATCTAGCATATACACAGTTGGTGTACGTGCACCAACTGTGTCTATATAGAAAAGTATAAAATCTTATTAGAGTGATGTATAAATATAAAGTGGAGCATCCGCTGCTTCTCTCTATGATTCAAATAATTGAAGGAGAAATGTAACATACGTGTGTTATCTTTTAGGTTAGAGCAGTTAATATGGCGTTTGGGTGAGTTAATGGAGTTTTTGCAAAAACTGTACTTTCACGAACTCCCAAAAGCTCGCCCAAACGCCACCTGAACATCCAGACAGATCCATAAGAAGTAAGGCAATCCTCATGAATTTTTTCTTCTGCAATTTGAGTTTGAAGGGCTACTCTAAGCCCTGAAGAAACTTAAAAAAGAAAAGGACAACTTTTCTTTTTAGTTCATTCAACTATGTCCCAACGTTCATTTCTTTTTCACCACCACTTCCTGAAACTAACATTATCTAACATTACCACTTAGGCAGTCAATCAATCAATTAACTACATGAAAATCCAAACCTAATTGGGCTCTGCTATATGAATCAAATTGACTCTGCTCTATTCGTCCCATCTCATTCAAAGCTCAGTAATGATTCACAAGAACAGATGTAAAACTTCAGAAAATGAATCAAAATTGTAAAAGACAATCAAGTTTCCATACAATAGTTAATTCAAATTAGAGAATTTGCAAAAGCTCATATTATGAATTACCTTGACACGTTCCCAGGTGTCAGCAATGGTGAGAGGGCCATGTTCTTTCAAAATGTCGAAAATAACCCTGGTGATAGTTTGTGTTTGCTCAGGTGGGGTTTTAAGCTCAATGGGTTTCATTTTGGGCTTTGGTTTCCTCCCTATGTACCTTATCGCTGTCGCAAACATGGTTCCTTCCCTATTGGCTATGGCGTATTTTGCTGTTTCAGAGCGGAATTTGACTGTTATAAGCCCTAAGCTGCTGCTGTGCAAAGCAAGATGTACTTTACGAATTGAATTAGGTACTCGAAATTTAATGACAATTTTAGCCTCTTTCCTGTTATCTAATTCCCCGATTTAACCTTGACAGTCCCGACGAAAATTCTAAAAAAGAAACTTCATATCCAGCTCTTTGTTTCCAACTAGATATGGAGATTAATTTTATGACTCAATATAAATTTTCATAAGCATGACAATACTAACACATCAAATCCGTAAATTTTGGCATGCTTACCAAAATTGATGTACGCATTTTGATTATAGCTTGTTTAGCGTAAAAATCAACTTATTTTGAAAAGTGTTTATTTTTTTAAAAAGTTTTTTTTTTCAAAAGAAAGCAGTTTATAATTGATTAATTAATTTGAAAGATATTACTATTTTTTAATCCTTGATTAGCAGTTATTCAATTCAGTACGACTGCTTAAGAAGCAGTTTAATTTTCTGTATGGTATTGGTTCCATGAGAAAGGAAGGTTTTGGGACAGCTTCGTCTACCTTTACTGTTATACTGCTTTATTAAAGGCTTTTGGCAAGGTACTCGAGTTGACTTCATAGGTAGGCAAATTCATGGGCATGCAGAAAATATAGATCGGTGGTAACTTCTATCTACACCTTTTTTGTACACAATGATTATTGACATGTACATCTTATATGCTTGCAGCTGGACGTAATATAATTAATCTAATAACATTAAAGATAATTGATGGGGTATATAAATAATTTATTTCCAAAACCGCATTATATTAGGCATAGGCAACATAACACACAGCATTAATTATAGATACAAACGCAATTGCCATATATCCAAGACAGGAATCAGGGCAACTTGCTTGCTTCTTAAGGAAGCAGGGCATGTCCTAGCTAAGCTTGTTGTATATACAGAAAAGTGGGAACACCATGCTTTATGACTAGCTATATATGTATCACTCGACTTGAACAACACACTCGTAATGAACGAACACTCACACTCAACGCATAGAAAAGAAGGACTTCATAGACGACTCGAATCGTTCATCTCCAAGATGATGATATGATTGAGACTTCAATGCATCCCAGGGATCTTCTCCTTGATTTTCTCCATCATTCCCTTCTTCTCTCCTCCTTCAGTTTGATCAGCAGCAGCAGTAGTAGTTTGTGCAGTCTGTTGATGATCACCTATCTCCTTCTTATCATCAGTAGCGCCTCCAGTTAATGTCTCCTTTATCTTCTCCTTTATTCCCTTATTCTTCTTCCTCCTCCCTCCTTCCCCATCATCCTCCGACGACTGCATCGTCACAATATTATTCAAGTCAATTAATGGGGTAAAAGAAATGATATAATTACATTCTTGTTTTACTTAATAGGACTTTGTTTCCTTTTTAATTAGTTTATTCCAAAAAGAATTACACGTTTTTATTTTTAATTATTCTTTGACTTTAATCATAGAAATGGCATTGCATATTTAAAACAAAAGTTCTAAAGATAATTAATACTCCCTTTGATATGTGTCTGAGTTTTTATTTCTTTCACAACTTTTGTGTTATATAAAATGAAACGAACGGAATATATAGAGACCTTTCGATTATTACAGAGAACTTACAGAGCTAGAACTAGAGCTACCGGAACGACGAAGCTGTTGCTGCCCTTTATGGTGATGTTCATGCTCTTTGTTCATGGCATCAGTACCTGTAGCAGCAGGGGCGAACCCCATAGCAGTTCCTTGAGCACCAGTGCCCCCCATTTCATGAACACGGTTGCCATGTTCATCAACTAGCTGCATTTGGTTTTGGCTTGTACCGTGTTGTGCCATTTCTTTACCTTATCAAGATGCTAAGATTAAGAAAAACCACAGTACTATATCTTCGTTAATTAATAGACTTGAATAAGCTTGATCTTTTGTGATGGTGGAATTTATTAACAAGAGTGTAGCCACTTATATAGGAAAAAAGAACTCCAGAAGTATTACAAGTGTCGACTGAAAAATGGAGCTGAGAATTTTAGGGTAAGAAGAGTGAGCAAGGAAGCATAGAGTATTAGACAAGTGTGAATGGTCGGCAGGAGATAAAGATAAATGGAAAACGACTTACTATAACTTACAAAAATTCTGAAAGAAGGCGACCGCGCTACACCGACCTCACTATAAATGATTTTAGAATGGTGTAGTACTCATAATTTTGGACTCTCATATGAATTAGAGAAGCAGATTTAATTAGCCTTAATCGTGGCATGATTTTAGCTATATTATAGCCAAGAGTACAGTACAATATGAGATAATACTATAGAAATATAAAATATTATCCATGAAACATGGTAAGAGAGGGAATAAGGTATGAGTCATCTTACTAATAATGGAAATTAAGGATAAGCTTTCGGCTGTTTTTGACAAGATTCATCGAACGGCTTTGACTTTTTATGTGCTTCCAAGTACAAGAGACTTTAAGCTAAAACTACCGCAACATGTGGATAAATCACAGGCCCCGACTATTACCAAACAAAAAATTGAAAGATAAAAAAAATAATATTTTACCTGAAGATTTTTTCTGCGATATATAATTTCTCCCTTTTCTCCTTTATATATATATCCTTTTAATTGAGTGTTTCCAATTTGCTATAACAGAGTGTTACTGGATGTTAATAAAAAGTGAAACTATCTAGACTTGCTTTTATCGCATCAAATCTTGGTAAAGAATAAGTTTTTCACGCTGGATGGACACGGGAGGACTACCATTTACATTTTGACCCTAACAAAAGAAATCTTAGCATTTTTAGACACCGTCCGGATTTTCTCCTTCTTTTCTTTTCCTTCTCCTACTTCCTCCTCCATCTTCTTCTCCTTTCCCCTTTTCCTTCATCTTCTTCCAACAAATTATGAGCACATAACTAAACATTAAAAAAAAAATTATAGGTTCTCCAAAAAAATATGTGGTCGTAATTATATTCCATTTAGGTTATATTATCTAGCCTCAATGATCTGAATTGGTTTGGTTGGAGAACTTAAAAAAAACATCATTGTTGAATTTTATTGGAATACAAAAATAAATATTGTAGAAGACAAAGTGAGTATTGATTTTGAGGTTTAGGATGAATCTAACTATTGAAGATTGTCTGGATTTGTATTAGAAAATTGTATATCAAAATTAAAGTCATTTGGAGTTAATTTAGATCAATTGAATATTTACCCAGCATGTTATAGTAATGATTAGAATTTTGATAAGAAATTTTAACGATATATTAGGATTTTGAGCCACAAATGCTGAAAAATTCTGGCGATCCATTAGGTATTTATGGAAAAATCATGATAATCACCATATTTGTACACATCATATTATGAAATATCGTGATCACCATGATTTGGCCAATAATATTCATGACAATCACCATAACTTGTTAAACTTCTGACAACCGCCAGGAGCTTGCTTCTAAATTCTAGCGCGGGGGTTAATTTTCCCAACAAAAAAAAGCACGGGACTAAAATTTAAATGGTGGTACTAAATGATCCTATTTGTGCAAATCACCCGGTAAAGATCAAGTGGCTTGCAGAATCAACTCCGATCCCTTTTTCATATTTCTAATTCTAATAGAAGAATTACTATATTTGTTGGCCCGTGTAGGCCTCTAGCCCAATAGATTCTAGAAGAAAGAAAACAAGCATTGACACTGTATTTGATGACTCTTACAGGCATAACCTGTACAATTTTTACTCCCTTCGTTCTAATTTATGTGAACCTGTTTGATTAGGCACGGAGTTTAAGAAAAAAAATAAAGACTTTTGGAATTTGTGGTCCTAAACAAGTCCAAATGGGGCCTAGAGTATTTATGTGGTTATAAAAGCTTCTCATTAAGGATAAAGTTGTAACTTTAAGCTAAATTGTTACCAAATTTAAAAATGGCTCATTCTTTTTAGAACGAACCAAAAAAGAAATAGGTTAACACAAACCGAAACAGAGGGAGTATTTTGTTTAATAAAGTCCATTCGATTTTAGAAGCTGGGTGGTTCCCAAAGATAAAAAAAAAAAAAAAAAAAAAAAAAAAAAAAAAAAAAAAGAGGCAAGGAAGAGGAGTTAACATAAATTCGACCAATCAATAATCTGGGAGTGGATAAAGCTATATATGGCTTGTGGATAGTCTTTGATGAGCTAACTTTTCAAGTATAATGCAACTAAATTCACCCTTCCATAAAGCAAATTAATTGTTTTGGCCTTTGGCCTCTTGTAAAAGGCAGAATAAAATCCATTGATTTGTTCTTTTTTTTTTTGGTAACAAAGGGAAATATTCATATATATTAAGTCATGGACAATGGATGTCTCATTACAGTTGCTTTGAGTAGATAGTACACATAGGTTTCCAAAACTAGCAAACTTAGTAGACATAGATATGAGGATTCTTCTAGTGGACAACACGCCTTTTTTGTCTGATTGTAAGGTTGAAAATACAGACGTCGACGGATAGTTTAAAATATATATATTATCACTTGATTGCTTCTTATACCCTTCATTTGCCAAAGCATGCGCTGCTTTGTTTCTCTCCCTGAAACTATGCCGGATGACTGGATTCCCCAACCTCTTCAAGTGAGACCTGTAAGAGTTAATTAAATTGTTAAAAATAGGGATTGTTTCATTTAATAGTTCAATTACCTCGATAGAGTCTGTCTCAATTTCCACCGGAGTTAGTTGGTGGTCTATTACTAGATGTAACCCATGCTATAAGGCACTCAACTCGACATGAGTGTGGTTGAGTGCACAAACCTTTTTAGAGAATCCTATGACCCATTCCCCATTTGCATTTCTTATAACCCCTCCAATACCACCAGTCTTGTCTTTAGCATAGAAGGAGCCATCCGTGTTAAGCTTAAAGGATCCTGGAGGTGGAGGGAACCACCTGACATGGATGTCTTTTGTAGGGATGGAAGATGTGGAAGTCCCTGTACAGAACATGTACTCCATAGCCCGCATGCACATAGTTTTAATATCAACCAACATGTTAGTTTCATTAAAGACATTATGGTTCCTGTTTGTCCAAATGTGCCACAGGGCAAAAGGAAAGAAAAAGTCCCAGGATAGAGGATAGTTAAGGATGGAAATATGCATGTCCTTAATTAAGTGAAGCCAGTGAGTATAGTGGTAGAGGAGGGCAATGATATTTAATCCAAGGTCCAACCAGAATTTTCGTGCAGTAAGGCACTCAAGAAAAACATGGTGGATGGATTCTGAGGGATGCTTGCAAATGGTACTATTAGAGGTTACATTGACACCTATATGATGTAGATAGCTATTTGTTGGCAGCTTATTATGGGGGCAAAGCCATAGAAAGAATTGGATCTTTGGCAATCTATTTAGAGTCCATATCCAGTTAAAACCATACTTATGGTCAGGCGATGGATGAATTAGGTTATTAACTGACTTTGTGGAAAAAATGCCATTTGTATTTAACGACCAGTAGGGGGGTATCAACCTTATCCCGTCTCAAGTAAATTGTCTTAGTTTGATTGAGAAACTCTTGTGGGATTTCCATAGAAATTCTTGAGCAATCCTACTGGAGGTCATCCCAAATGTTGTGTAAATTAAGTCTTTGGTCCTTTTGGGTTAAGGGACCTTGAATAATTGAATGGAGAGGTGGTGAATGAGGAATCCATCTAGAGTTCCATAAATCGATGTTAGTTCCTGACCCTGGATCCCATGCTACAGCTTTAGAGCATATAGTACCACCCTTTACAATATTTTTCCAAACAAAGGAATAGGAAGAGGAAGTGCTTTTTGGACAGTGTTTTTTAATTAGGGTTTGTGTCCAAAGGGAGATAGGTTGAGAGAAGAGTCTTCAAGCCAGACTTGTTAGTAAAGTCATGTTTTTATCATGGGCTTTTTGAATGCCTAAACCACCTTGGTCCTTTGATAGGGTGACATTGTCCCAGTTGATATAGTGAATCTTCTTCTTTTGAGGAGTAGTGCCCCATAGGAAGTTCCTCTGGATTTTATCAATATTGTGACAAGTTTTTTTAGGAAGAAGGAAGTATTGCATGACATATGTTGGGATGGTGTTGAGAGTGGATTTGATGAGAGTGAGTCGCCCTGCTGGAGTTAGGAAATTAAGTTTCCAGTTAGCGAGCTTGCTTTTCATATTATCAATAATGTATTGGAAATTATGGGGTTTAGGTTTATTATTCAGGATGGAAAACCAAGATATTTACCAAAAGTATAGGTAGATTTTATTTTTAAAAGACTTTGAATTAATTCACGAGGAGTTTCTTGGCATCCCTTTGAAAAAATAACCCTAGATTTGGTAGGGTTAATTTTTTGCCCTGATAAGGTGCAAAAAAGACTTAGGCTTTTGTGGATTGATTGAATTAATTTTTTGTTAGCTTTAGCCATAAGGGTAAGATCATCTGCAAAGAACAGATGTGAGAGTTGAGGTCCATTTTTGTTAAGGGTGATGGGATCCCAGAGCTAAAGGTCAACTTGATGGTTAATACAGGTGGATAGAAGCTTCATGCATAGAATAAAAATGTACGGAGATATGGGATTGCCTTGACGTATAACCCGGGAGGGAGAAAAATAGTTGGTTTTGATACCATTGACCAGGATAGCAATGTTGCTTGTAGTAATGCAGTTTAAAATGAGCTTGGAGATTTTTGGGGGGAATTTAAAAAACTGAAGAGTGCGGTAGACAAAAGACCATTCAATACGGTTAAAAGCTTTTTCAAGGTCTATTTTAATAATACACTTGCCCTCAGTCCCTCTTGTTTTATTAATATGGTTCATGACTTCCTGGACGAGGATAGCGTTATCACAATCCCTACATCCTTTGAGGAAGCTAGTTTGGCATGGTCCAATAAGGTCAGACAAGTAAAACTTGATGCTGTTTGCAATAATTTTGTAATTATTTTATAGACGGTATTGCAAAGGCCAATTGGTCGAAAATTC